CCAAATATATTAACTGAGATACAAACCTAGGCAGTTTGATTCCTCAGTCGGTGCACCTAACTCCTACACTCCGAGATGAACATTATGGAATCATTTCACAGCTTAACTTGTGTGTTTTATGTCTACAGAATGGCTCTTGGACTATCAGAAAGAATCCTGTATCTATTGTACATTTTTGGTTCAGTTCTTAGGTTCGATTCTCTTCTGCAGCAACCCTGTAGAGTTTTATCGTGAAATAGTATGTTGTTTGGGTAAGGTACACTATGAATGCCAGATACCTGAGACTTACTCACTAGACTAGGACACCTGATGGGTCCATGGAGGGGTAACACTGAAGGGTAGATAACCACATGATCATGTAGATTCTGTATGCCTCTCAAGAATTCCAGGGAAAATGGTATATCATGGTGGTGTTCTCAAGTTTGAAAATTTTTAAGATATAACCCTAGAAAAATGCCAGTGTCCTCCATGTTTCCAGCTGACACTGTCTGAAACTCATCACCTTACCCACATCACAATAAGGGAATACAGATCTTCTATGCATTTCAACATAACACTTTTTTATTTAGAGGTAGTATGTGTCATTGTTTATGACCAGAATAAAACCATACAACTATTTTGAGCAACAGGTCGCTATGGTAACAGGTTTTCTGATTGAATTTAGAGTTGCAGTGCCTTCTGCTCCTGGGAGATATGGCCTTTAACAGCAGGTATTGTGCATTATTTTATATTGAGGCTAATTTTTTTTTCTACAGCAGGTAAGATTGGATGTTAACTTACCTAATGCAAATCCTGTATCATAATGCTTAATCGTTTAATGGAAATTTCACTTGTTGGAGCTTTTCAAAGACAAGTGAAAAATGAGTAGTTATAGCAGGGGAAAAATATAAAAACTTAGATGATTCTATAGTCAATAATTGTAGTTGTCTCTACATTTCATTTATTCCTACAAAACTGTTTCTTAGATTGTGAAAGTTAGCACATGTAACTGTAAATCACACTAGTAAGTTTTGAGTTTTTATCATATTAATTTATTCATGTTTGTGTGTGTGCACGCTCATGTATGCTGTGGTGCACAAATGGACATCATAGGATAGCTTGTTGAGTGGGTTATCTCCTTCTACCTAGGGAGTGAACTCAGATCTTCTCACTTGGCAGCAAGGTCTTTACCCCTGAGTCATCTTGCCAGCCCAGTGCTTTATACTCATATTTTTTAATATATAATATCAGATCTCTTCACCTGGTTATGTACACCATGGTGAATGAATATATTCTACTTTTTAATGTCTTATTCAAATATTTTCCCAACATCTTGCAAACAGTGTAGACCATAAATTTTCTTCTATATGAGTAACACTTGAACTGAACCACAGAACTAGAATTTCAGAACAATTAGAACAGCAACAGTGGTAGCCTTCTTCACTGGGACCTTGAAACAGTATGCAGATTCACGTGTTTGAACACTTGGTCCAGAGATAATAGTGCTGACTAGGAAGCCAGTGAAATCTTTGGGAGGATGCACCTCACTGCAGGAAGTTGTCACTGGGGGTGAGCCCCACTTCCTATCTGCTAACCATTTCCTGAGTGCAGATACAATCTGTTCTTGCCTCTGCGCCTACCATCGTGGGCTGTCTTCCTTCAGACAGTGAGCCAAAATCGGCCCTTCCCCTCCTAAGTTGTCTCTAATCAGAGTTTTGGTCTCAGCTGCTAAATCACCAGGACTCCTCAGCATTTCATTTACTAATTTAGTGCACACTCAGGGAATCAAAGTGCACTCTCACATTACAAAAAAGTTGTAATACTAGCATCAGTAAAAGGAGTTTGTCCCATGAGCTTGCTCATACATCCACTATACAAATTAGGGGACTGGATATTTTCCTCAGGTGTTACAGCTCACAAAAATGAATGAAGTAACCCACTACACATCTTAACAAAGGATCAGGAGCAATAGCTTATATTGAATAAAATGAGAGAATTGGCTGGTGAAATGTAATAAACATTCCAAGTCAGGAGGCAACAGATGCCAGCACCTCCTCAACCATAGATTAAGGTATCTTTGTATGAGTATACTTTATGTAAGTAGTAATATTATGAATGCTGTATTTACACAAAGAAGCCCAGAACCTCAATGTTTGCACACATATCAGCTATGGTTGCCATTTAATATTGCTATTTTTCTTTTTGAATGTCAGATGAGTAAATCACAGGAATAAAACACTAAACTTGCTTAAGATCAAAGGCCTTACCTATGATTTTGATAGTTAGCATATATTGAGGTATGACAGGCAAGCAAATTATTCAACCAATTAGTTCTAAATCATGGTTTTATTAAGGATCAAGAGAAACAAATAGGCCGAATAGATGTTTATTCTGGGAGAAATAACTTACAACCTACACAGATGAATACCATTGTGCTCTCCTCTCCGTGTCCCGCCAGCAAGAGAGCACTCCAGGGCTCCTCCTCAGACCTAGTTCCCCCAGGTCATTTCTGCCCATCTCCACCCCCAATGGGCATGGTCAGTGCCACAAATGCAGACAAAGTGAATATCTCACTACAATTCCTCTTTTAGTCTAAAGAAAAGATTTAGGCTAGATACAAAACTATATACAAAACCGTAAATAGCAACTGTGCTCTAAGAAAAGGAAAATTGAGAACATACAAACTTAAGACCTACATATCTAATCCTAGGGTGAAGGCATAATGGAGCTTACAATAGAATTGTTCTAAGCTGGAAAGCTTAAATCTAGTACCTAATATTTCTAACTAGGAAGAGAGAATAATATAGTTGTGATAGTTTAATCTTCAACCTCATCAAAGACCTGAGAAGCAAAGTAACAATACTAGGGTAGACAGGAAGTACAGACGGGTAACTTCCAAAAGGTGCAGCGAGGACAGAAACAGGCTATGTCATTATGATGAGCTTTCTGCTACTCGTGAACTATATCCACAACATTTCAAAACCTTGAGTGCACCATTTATATAGTCTTTGCTGTCCTTGATTCCGTTTAAATCCTTAAAAATGCTTCATTTTTTAAGTCATTCCATTAGCTACAAAGATGAAAGTTGGAGATAGAAAACAGTTTTAAATAATTTTAGTGGACTTCAGAAAGACAATTTGTTGATTACTGCAATTATATACTCTACACCAGTGATCCCCTCTGCCCTATAATTCCTGAGAGTGTCACTCATTTGGTCAAAAAGAATGTTGTTATTTGAAATCGTTTGCATATGAGTGAGATAATTTCTGCTGGAAAATTCCAAGAAGTGATGTAAAATTGTAGCTAGGTGAGTAAGTACTACATCCTAGAAGTTCCCATAATTTTGGCCCAGTGGAAGTACTTGTGAATTGTGTCTAAATCCCCTCAGGAGTGGATGTGTTTCCTCTATTTCAACTGTGTCCATTCTGGTCACTTACTATCATAATACCAGCAGCTTTCCCTGAAGCAGGCAAGAAGCAGCTGCTACTACTAGCAAGGCTGATGAGATGAAGACAAAAATCTCTCTGGCTGGTGAAGGACAGAGTGCCCTGACTGGCAGGACACCTGGGGCTGGAGGGGGGGGGGGTCATCTGTTGAACCTTCATGCCCTGACCCCAGAAGCCTTTCTAACTGGCTTAAATGGGCATGCTTGTTTTCCACTTTTGTTATTAAAATAGAAGTGGAAATCTGCTTTTCCCAGCCTATCAGCATCTCTTTCCTCAGCCTGCCTGACCTTGAGGTGGTACAGCTGCTTCGGTGGAGTTAAAAATGGACCTTCAAGCTGGCTTTAGTTTCTGTTGCTCTGCCTGTAAGTTTCCTCCCCCTAATCTGTTTATCGCATGCTCTTTACCACTTCTGTTGTCGTTCGCCTGGACAGTTGATCTTGTTTTCCCAAGCCCTAACCTGCAGGTCCTTGCACATGACTGACGCAGGAACCTCTCCTCGAGCAAACTGCACCCACACAGCCCCAGTAGTTTCTTCCTCTTCTGATCCCTGGCAACCGTACTGGGAATACCCACGCCTAGCAAATCCAGTGCTTCAGGGACAGGGCAGCAGGGCAGCGGGAATAGGGTGCCTTAGTGAGTTAGGAAAAACGATTGGCGGCTTGCTTTTATGGGTGTGCGATCATTTCTACTCCCTTTTACCCAGGACGCCCCGGGAGAGTCACGGGCGTTATCCCAACAGTATAACTCTTTATTCTCATGCCTTCAAGCCTTTTGAAGACCAAAACCTAAACTTTTTCCAAACAGGCCCACCAGGAACTTCAGCTTCTGGGAATGCCAATTGCTTCTAACCTCCCTGCGGGTGGAGCAGGCAAGGAGATGTTAGTGGTTTTGCTTAGTTTCTTGGCACTTCCCCCTTCAGTTCAAGCTCCCTGCTTTCAGAAGTCCTGTCTTAGAACAGTGCCAGGCTCGTCCTGGCCGCGGAGAAAAGGTTTTAGTCACAGATGTAGCATCCCCAAAGATGTCCCATTGATTTCTAAGAGCAGCTGAAGCCAGAGAGCCCTTGCCACATCCGACCACCTGTGGAGACTGGGTGAGGCCTGGAGTTGATGGGTTAGATGTCAGAGCATGAGCATAAAGGATGCTCACAGAACACCAACTCAACTAAGCCAAGTACTTATTCAGGATGACACAGCAAAGCCTCAGGCCATGGCTAACAAGACCTAGAGCTTCCTCCTGCCTGAACAGCTCCTTAGCCAAGTCTTGGGCAGTCTGAGCATGGAAGCCAGTAAGCCTTGGGCAGGAGCTCACGTCAAAGAATCCAGGTTAGTGGACGAAGTGATGTGGTTCTTAGGTGACTTGCAGACAGGGTAACCAGAGGCCTACGCAGGAAACAGCAGGTGTCCGCCCAGCTGGTGGCAGATCCTCAACTCCCTGAGGCTTGCCTGGGCCCCTGCTTTCCCTAGAACTAAAATGCGACCTGACCCAGCAGGGGCGGGCCGGGGCACGGGCCAGGCGGGTGGCGCAGGTGGGCGTGCCAGCCAGGCAGGGAGGCTGGACCTATAAAACACTCTCTGTTCCGGAGGCGGAGCTGCCCGGTGCAGCCAGTGTTGGTGGGCGCGGTGGCCCGCAGCCTTCCGCTCGCAGAGGGACTGTGCTGGGGGGCACTGTCCAAGGATCGGCCTACTGAGGGGCGCCTGCCTCGGTTTACCCCTCAGCATCCGGTGAAATCCCTGCAGGTGAGCTGCGGGAGGAGGCGGGAGTGGGCAGGGTCGCTTCCCAGCTGTGCTGACTTTCTAGCTACTTTCAGCTGGTTGGCTGTTATTGGCGTCTCGGTTCCCAGGGCTTTGTCAACTTGAGTTACTAAGGCTGGTGTCTCCCTCTGGAAAGGCAGTGCCCGGGCTAGTTCTCTCTGGCGATGCCGGGACTCTGGGGAGCCTTTGCACTCCTTGCGTGCTTTTGCAAACTTCTCTCACTTTTTTCCCCACAGCGCCTAAGGGAAAACCGTTCTGCTCCGCGAGGGAAACAGAGCCGTTGACCATGGTTGCAACCGGCAGTTTGAGCACTAAGAACCCGGCCAGCATTTCAGAGTTGCTAGATGGTGGCTATCACCCTGGGAGTCTGCTAAGTGGTGAGTGGCCCGGCTGCTCACCTTTCTCCTAATAGAAGGTCGCAGCCCCTCTCTAGATAGTGTAAGCATCCTGCCTGAGTCCACGAGCCCTCTTTCCCTCCTAGACAGACTATGAGATCCATCTGAGATGTCTTTTCAACTTCCTTAGTATTGTCTGCCCACCAGAAACAAACATAATGAGAATACGGTGTCGTTCTAGCCTGCTAACAGGCTCTTGGAGACGAAGTTCCTTATCCCTCTTGGTTGGGACATTAAGTGTGTTTCCCTTTATAACCAGCACCAGCACATTCTCCTCTCTAATTCATCTCTGATGGTTCGCCATCCATTCCCTCTTTTCCCTGTCCCCATGGAACCATGTTTCAGTGTTAGTTACTATGTTACTTTTGCCTCCTATGTTAGTTTTGCTTTTAGGGTGTCAGATAATAACAGAGTATGTGTTCTGAATTCGGTTTGTTTTCCCACCGCTTAATATTTTCAACTAGACCCTTCCCGGTTAATGTGTTCTTTTTCATAACTAAATAAGATTCTATTGTGAAATGTGTGCACTATTCCATTCTTGATGTCAGAACAGTTTAGTAGCACTGGTCCCACAGGAATCATCGCTTACAACTTTGAGTAGCAGTTTCTAATTTAACGGGCTACTCTATTATCAAAGAGTGGTGTGGGGATAGATTTTAACTGCTGAAGCTCTTTAGATCTTCCTCATTTGTAAGGGGGAAAAAATTAGGGTAATCCTAAAATTGTCTGTCTTCAGTGTAGCTAATATAAAGGTAAAATGCAGATAGGATTTGGAATGTATTAGTTTAAAAACAAAGCAATACCCTAAGTGAATGCATGAGCAGAAAGCAGGGAGAGGTGGAGGAGGTTTGAGGCCAGTATGTGGTGTGGCACCCTGCCAAGTGGCAGGATTAATTTGGAAGGTAGGTGACCAAATGCAGAGCTATCTTTTTCCCTCTGAGCAAACCTAACTTTGTTTTCCTGGGTCTATTTTGTTTTGCTCAGCTAAGAGAAACCTACCCAGCCCAGTTATAAATAACCTCGTGAACCTCAAAGGTCCTCTCCTCTGTGAGCAAATTTTAATCAAACAGCTCGATGCTAAAATGGGACCTTCAGGCCATTCTGGTGAAGAAGACTCTTAAAGAAACATAAAAACTTGGTAGACTTTTGGTGCTGTGACGGGCTTACTTGCAAGCACTTGCAGTCATCCTGTGCTTCAGTACATACACACCAACGGTCCCTTTGTTAAGCAAAACTAATGATTTTTATTCCAGATGTTCTGTCTGTTCTCTGTGAGAACACTAAAATAAACTTGGAAAACCTACAGTGAGAAAGGAAATAACTAGTAATCTTGGACTACCATGGATAGATTTTTGCTGCATAATCCTCAAGAGACATGGAAAGTTAAAGAAACATTGTTTTAACCTAGTCACTGGCACATCAGATTCTCGAGTACATGGATAAGCTTTCAGTCTTGAAAGGTTAAATAACTTGTTTTACTGTCTGTTGGTTAACAGCAAACTGGGGTATGCTAACTCAAAGTGAGGTATGCTGACTCCCAAAGCTGTATCCAAAGCAGCTAGACACAGAGGCTAGAAGTGGCCAGGTTTTACTATGGCAGGAAGACATTGTTTGTCTGTTCTCTAAGATGTTCATTTCTTTCAGATTTCGACTACTGGGATTATGTTGTCCCTGAGCCCAACCTCAACGAGGTGGTATTTGAAGAGACCACGTGCCAGAACTTGGTTAAGATGTTGGAAAACTGTCTATCCAAATCAAAGCAAACCAAACTCGGTTGCTCCAAAGTCTTGGTGCCTGAGAAACTGACCCAGAGAATTGCTCAAGATGTCCTGCGGCTCTCCTCCACAGAGCCCTGCGGCCTTCGGGGGTGTGTTATGCACGTGAACTTGGAAATTGAAAATGTTTGTAAAAAGCTGGATAGGATTGTGTGTGATGCTAGTGTGGTGCCGACTTTTGAGCTGACACTCGTGTTTAAGCAGGAGAACTGCTCGTGGACGAGCCTCAGGGACTTCTTCTTTAGCAGAGGTCGCTTCTCCTCCGGCCTTCGGCGAACTCTGATCCTCAGCTCAGGATTTCGACTTGTTAAGAAAAAACTGTACTCTCTGATTGGAACGACAGTCATTGAAGAGTGCTGAGGAAAGACACAAGAAAAGTTCCCTAATGAGCGGATAATAAACCTCTGAAGCTGTCCAGTCAGCTGTTTGTAGTTTGCCTGCCTGCCCTCACCAAGATCTCCCAGATTTAAGCCATCTTCCTTCTGTATTTCTCACCCATAGCAACCTACTTCAAAGGCTGTTTTCTTCCTGTTCCTTTTCTTTTTTAAGACATAACCCAATAGAGCAAATTGCCCACTTATGTCAATATAGAATGGAACAGAATAAGGAAGAAAAATAAGCAATACATTTCAATTTTATATTTGGTCTCATTTAGCAGACAGTCTTGGTAACAGAAAAAGATCCACTTTGCCTAATTTGACTTTCATATGCCTAGGGATTGTTGTTGTTCTCTCTATCTAGCTATCTATCTCTCTGTCCTTATCTTTCTGTCTCTCTCTCTCTGCATGATCTTGTCAATGGCAGCATCTTACCAGATAATGTCCAGCCCATCAAAATATATAGAGGACATACCACCAGCTTCCTACTTGAATTTGAAGAGTTCTTACACAAGAGGGTATAGTTAAGTCTATGAGCTTAATTAAAATGTCACCTTACTAAGGGCAAATAAATATCACAGTAACAAGAGCATGGCTTCCCTGCTTGGTGTTCTCCCACACCCACGCCCAAGAGACAAAGAGCTTACATGGCATTGTAATGATTACAGGATTACTTTCAATGTCATTGTAGTATCATGTCAACTTAGTTTTCCTAGTTCTCATTTTTTTTTCATACCATCTTTAATTGGAGAAATAGAAATGACACAGTGGCTTTGTGGGGGGTGAACTGAGCAAATAGTGATTGTCCACCTATGAAGATGGAGAAGGGTAAGAGGAAATCCTGTCCTGTTTGGATCCACTTGATAGCATTGCTGATTTACACCATGAAGATGCTCAGTCCCCAGAGAAGCAAACTCACAGCATCAGTAATACCTCATCTCTGACTTCTTTTGGGAACCCAACCACCTTTCCTTAACTTCATACTTCTTTTTAACTGTCAGTGTGTTTATATTTGCAGAACTTACTTTGACGTTGAGATGTTGTTGCTACTGTACACTAGATATGAAAATCCTATAATAACTTAAGATACACATCCAGCCTCTGCCCACCATACATATCCACCCCTATGAAACAATAAATGCTTCGTTTGGTTATTTGTTTTTTTTTTTTTTTTTTTTTTTTTTTTTTTTTTTGCCTTATTCTGAATAACTAAATGAGTGTCTGTTTTTATAGCCATGAGTTAATTTACCCTCCACATAACTCTGCTCTATTCAGCAAGGTCTTTTCATATTTGGGTCATGGAAAGAAGTGTATTCGGGTCTCCCGGCCAAGCCTTTAGTAGGAATCCATGTCCCTCAGGCACCAGCATGACTGGGGCAGATGTCTATATCCTGACCTTATATAAACAAGCCTGATGCAGTGTTTGGTTCTGAAGTGACCTAAGACATCACCATTCTAATGAGCAGGTGTTCTAACAATGGTACACTTTGGATGCTTGGAAAGGCACCACAAAGCCAGTCTTCCCAGGACTGAACCAACAAGCAGACCCCTGCTGTTTTGTAGACTTGCTGAAGCTCAGGGTTCTGAAGGTCGCTGTGTTCCTGTAGCTGTCTTGAGACATCAGCTGAAAGGATTCTGTGGCTTCTTAGGCATGGACACTGATTCTTTTCACACTCACAGTTGTGAATGACTCTCTTGACTATTTCAATTACAAAATGATGATGGCTTAAGGAGACTCTTTCAATGATATATATATCTATTTAAAAAAATTAAAGTCTGTCTATTTTTTAACAATAAAACATACATTTTTAATTCTCTTGCCCTCTCTGTTTTGTTTTGCTTTTTTGTTTTTCTGCATTTGTGCCATGATCACCCTAAAACAGATTTGACAGTATTTGGAGGAAGATAATGAATTGTTCCTTTTGGATAAAGCTACTTTACAGCCTCAGTTATATTATTACAATTACACTTATTTCATGTGCTTACATATCAATAAAGAGTGATTTGATTCATAAGCTTCCAACTTTCATATTTTCAATAGGAAAACATTAATGATTTGAGTGCCATTGGCAAGTGCCTACTTCAAAACAAATCTCAATATTCATTATATAAAGACGTTTTGTGTAACTTTCTGAATAGCCAAACACACATATACATACATAAAGTCAGTGTTCATATTCATTTGTCATATTAAATGACAATTCTTTTGAGTTCTTAAATTAAAATTTAAACTTTTCACATACATTTTGTGTCTCTTCAAATTAAGGCTCATTACCTCAGAATTCATGTACTATAACCTCAAACATCTGAACGATAACAATATCACACCCACTTAACACTGTATAGACAGAACCAGGAACATTTGCTTTGAAAATAAATTAGAAAACTGTATTCTTTGTTTATGTTTGGGATCGAAACCACAGTTTCAAACATTCCAAACACACGTACATGGAACTGGAGTCCAAAAACAAATGTTTAGCATGGTTTCTGGTTAGGCAGAAAAATAAGGAAACAGTTGTCAGTATTTGTGATTCATTTCTAGCAGGGGTCTTCTCTGATTTAAAAACCTGTCTATAGGCCAGTGACGTGCCACAGTGGGTAAGGCTACTTGCCACCAAGCCTGGCTACCTAAACCTGATCTCTTAGACCCAGATGGCGGAAGGAGAATCCAACTCCTGCAAGTTGTGTCTGACCTCTGTATAAGTGCCATGACGTGCTCATACACGCGCACACACACACACACACACAGTAACTACTTTTTTTATTTGGGAGATTGAACCAGTGGGGGGGGGATAGCTTGTGTGCACATGTGAAAGCTATTATATTCATTTCTCAACTACATAGATTTAAACAAGTGATGACAATAATATTGAAGTTCAGTACAGATTGGCAGCAGCTAGGAAGGAAAGGGTGCAAGTGAGATGCAAGGAAGGAGGAGCATGATAGATTCTGGAAGAGTCCTAGACCACTGCTCATGCCCAGTCGTTCCTTACAGACTCAAAAGAGCTTGTCAAAAGTTCTTTAAAAGTAATGAGAAACACTCAAATGACCAAAAGGAAAATAAGTGGATATAAGAAGGAACTTATATGGCTGGTAGATACATGAAAAGATACTTAATTTACCTAGTAATCAGAGAGATGCAAGTTAAAAGCATTAATGATAAATCAATGGATAGTTATGCATATCAGTTAACAATTGGCACATCCATAAATTAATGAAGTCAGAGCAAAAAACTAAATCTCACTTCACCCCATGGGAACTATACCTCAGTAATTGGTTACTGTCATGGAAAGTTGATGATAAGTGTATTTTATGAACCAGCCATCCCATGTTTCATTTCCAGTGTTCTTTGAACCTTTTTGTTTATTATACATATAAAGAAGTCATGGAATTAGAGCCTCTGCCGTGTTTTATAGTTGCCATCCCAGTTTTTCAACCTCAATTTTAAAAGTTGGAAATGATGTAAACTCTACTAGATCGCCATAAGTACTGTCATTTTAAATAAAACCATTACATCATTCTGCTAAGTGTTTCCAATGGGATGTCAATGGCATGGTAATGTGACACCAGAATCTATTTAGAAAACGCTAAACAGCAGGATATTATGTACAGTGTTATTTCTTCTCCATTGCTATATTTTCCCAACCTTTACTTTTCTATACCGAATTTTACTTTAACATAATAGTTAAAAACTAAAATTATTATATGCAATTAAAATGAGTTCAATAACATTTACAATGACAAGTTTTGGTTGAGTTCACTTACAAATAATAAATTGTTTACAGTGGTCAAAGGCATTAAATGTGCTCTGCCGTTTTACAGAAAATGTTCATGCTGAAGTGCTGGGTTACTTCTTGTTGAGACAACCATGTCATCAGTTCTAAACAAATACTGGTTTCTGCTATAGATTCAAGGCTGGGCTTCACTATCCATGTTCTATTTCTATAGCTGAGTGCTTTGAGGAAATCTGCTCCCATCAACAAGATGGCCATGGGGGACACTGCCTAAATATTACTTAGTCTTTGAACTACTTTCAGATGCATGGTACTTTCCATGATCAGCATCCGTGCAATTCAAATGGATTTCAGTGCTGCTTAAAGCAGAGAACCATCCAGCTCACAGCATTGTCTACAGATTTGTGAGAGCTGCCATAGCATCATACCAATAGTGAGGGCCTGAGATGTAAAAGTTTGTCTCCTCTCAGGGCTGAAGGCTATGAATACAACAGGTGCTGGCAAAGTGGTGTCTTCGCAGGGCTCCTTCCTTGATGTGGAGATGGCCCTCTTGTCTTTCTGTCTTCCCACTGTCTTCCTCTATTTGTGTATCTGTGTCCTAATCTTTCCCTCATCTAAAATCACCAGTCTCAGGGGATTACAGCCCAATGCAGGGGCATTATTTTACCATACTTGCTCTTTAAAAGCACAGCCTCTGGGCTGCAGTCATTCCTCTGGTTGATGCCCAGACTAATGCCCTCTTGCAGTGTTTACAAAATCTGTTCTTCCTATTCTCTGCACAAGGCTGCATTCATTCCCTGCTGCCAGCCCCTCATCTGCTGCCACACCAGTGGATACCAGCCCATTGCAGTTATGTATGTGTAGTGTAATCCCTACCACAGCCACTAAAAAGAAAGTATTTGTGCAATGAGATCCACTAAAACACTATAACCAAAATGAAATTATTTTAAAATAAGATTAAGTGCTGGCTGTTCTTGCAGAGGACCTGGGTTCAATTCCTAGCTCACAACTTCTTGTAACTCCAGTTAGGTCAGATTGCCTATCACCAAGAAAACAAAATTACAACAAATTCCAGTGAGTGTCTGGGGGAAAAGGAATGTTTATTAACTCCTGATGAAAATGTAAATATATGTACTCCATGGAGATCAATATGAAAGTTTCTCAAAAAGATAGTAAAAATAGAACTATCGTATGATCCAGCCTACCAGTCCTAGGTCTATACCTAAGGGACCCTAAATCAATACCATAGCGGTACCTCCACCTTCCGTGTTCACTGTTACACCATTCACGACATCCGGGAAATATAACAA